AAGCTCAAAGCTTTCTCATTCTTTTGATTTGTGTATCATTTTAGTCCATTTTAGGGTTTTGGTCCCAAATTTGGATGCTTTATGAGATATTGAGCTCTAGAGTTTATTATCAACTCCTTTGAGTGTTTTGAGTGGTGTAGTGTCATAAAAATCGAGACTTGGACGTTTGAATCAAACAATGCATGATTTATGACCATATTTGAGAATAGAGAGTGAGAGTTTTGTAGTTTGTGGCTTTATCAGCCATACAAAGGCTTAAAGTCATAGACTTTATGGAGTAAGAGTCTTTAGGACGTCCATATCTAAAATTTGAGCTAAGGTCTTAACGAAACAAAACCGGGACATATGTTGAGCGTAATCCCAGTACATGTACCATAGGACTGAGAATCCTCGATGCATGTGTGGAAAAGGAGTACGCCCAGCGTAGAGGGCTTGTACGTGCCGCGTATGCACTTCCGTTAACTTTGAGTTGACTTATAGGGTTAGGTCAATTTGTAGATTATAAAGGCCATGCAAGGGTAAAATGGTCTTTTATCCTTCTGTGATTTTGTAGAAGGATTACTCTAGCTTCTTTGAGAGCTGTTATTAATTAGAAATAATTATCGTTTGTGTTAGGCAGAGGCTAGACCGGTGATTTGAGTTCGAGGCTATCCGATTTCTTACGAGGTGAGTCTTCTCATTATACTTACCTGAGTGATAATACCAAGCGGCCGGAGGGCCTTATCTGAGTTATTAACCGGAGGGTCCTATGTGCTTATATTGAGTTATGTGATATTGTGCTTTTTTGTCTTTGTGATATTTGCTATGTTATTCTGTGTTTTTCTGAGATCGGATCGGATGGTCCAAACCGAGTTGTGAGACTGAAGGGTCTTCACTGAGATATAGGACTGGACGGTCCAACCCGAGCTGTAAGACCGGAGGGTCCACACCGAGTTATATCCATGAGAGGCTTATTATTTGTGTATGTGGTATTTTGGGGAACTCACTAAGCTTTATGCTTACCGTGTTGTGTGATATTTGTTTCAGGTACTTCTCAGGATCGTAGGAAGGCACCGGCTTGATTGTACACACCGATTTGAGACTATGTGGATTCGGGGATTGTGATGTTTTTTTATATGGAACTGTGTTGACACTTGAATAATTATGTTTTTGAGATATACATTATGAGTTTTTGAGTGTTTTAAAAATGAAAATTTTGGTTTGAAAATTTACGTTGTTATAATAATCATACATAACACTGGATCTCATAGACAGTCGAATACTTAATTCTACCCTAAGCCCATGACCAGATAAGGAACAGGAAATAAGGATAAATCAAAAATTCTCAGGCTATAAAATCTTAGTTATGTACAACTATGATGCACCCACTAAGCAACTATAGTAATGATTTCAATTCCATCTAGTATACAAGATATACTTCTAGGTTATCAGGCATCACACCTTAGGTAATTCTATCATGAAATATATGAGGATCCCTAGCCTACAAACTAGCATGCTATTCTATTATAATCATCATAAGAAAATAGCAGTGTGGGTATCTTTGGGTACACTCTGTTGCTTCGGCTGATCATACATATCCCATCCTTCTTTGGTTACCTTTGAAAACTTTTACAGATCCTTAGCTTAAGTCTGGATTCACACGAATGCTCATCCAATTCACTCAAACCAGGACTCTGATACCAACTTGTAACATCCCAAAAATCAAGGTAAAATTTTTCATTTTGAAACCAATCCAAAACTATAAGTTCTTACAAAACATAGTTTCCAAAAGTCATAAACCTAAATCAGAGTATCCCAAAATCATAATCTCATAAAAATACAGGATGGTGTACATGATCAAGCCTTCACCTTTCCCCTATCCTTTGGAATACCTAGAACCATAACAATCAAATTATAAGCTAAAGCTTTGTGATTTCCCCCAAAATACCCCACATAACAGAACATATACAATCAAGCATGTTGGGTCCAATCCATCGTCGGATTGGAATACCCTCGGATCCACAGCCATCAGGTTGGATTACTCCCGGCCCAATCATTCATTAGACTGCAATGCCTCGGCCCGATCAGTTATCAGACTGGAATGCCAATATGCAATGGGTCCAATCAGTCATCGGACTGGAATACCTTAGCCTAATCAGTCATCAGACTAGAAGGACAATATACAATGGGTCAAATCAGTCATCAGACTGGAATATCTTGGCATAATCAATCATTAAACCGTTTTGTTGGCTTACGCACATAACAGTAAAGCCTCAACTCAAACCCGCATTATGTTGACATATGCAATAGATAAAGATAAACATATAACCAACAAGTACAATTAATCATACAAATCTACCAATCTAACAGATCGCAACCGCATAGCAACATCATATTCACAAGGATACATAACACGATCTAGTGGGCCGACATTGGTGCCTTCGACCCACAATTACAGTGAGGAAAACTGACCTCACAGTTTGAAAAAAAGTTGCACAAATCATCGCTCCAAAATCTATCTCTACCGGTCACTTATACAATTAACAGGGACCCAAATCTCAACTACAATTCAAATTACCCAAAATGCCCTTAGGTCAAACTTGATCAAATTCTTAGTCAAAGGTCAAAGTCAAAAAAACTTCAAAAAGTCAAAGGAGATCAACAGAGACTGAGTACGACCAGCGAACTCAGTCACTACACTCAGCGTAGTAGATCCCTTCCTAGTTAGGGGGCTCCAGCCTAGTACGCGCAGCGTACCACCAGGTGTACCCAATGTACTCAACCAGTTACATTATCCTTCATTAAGTGTTTATTCCATTAAGATCTCATGTTCAAAGCTCAAACCTAGTCCCAAATAATATTCTAAGTCATAAAGTTTCCAACTTAATGACTTTCCATGGATAGAAGGAGTCCAAACACCAAAACTCCAACTTAATACACAAACCAAAGCATCATAACTCTTGTATGGAGGGAAGAAAGGGACCAATATCACATTTTTATGACTCAAACCACCCAAAAACGTCTGAAAGGACAACTCATTTGGATTAGAGAAAGCCATACTCATAAATACCAAGATTATGGGACCAAAATGCATAAAACTTAAGAACTTAGAAAGATATAAGGAAACATTCATCAAGTTTTTAACTTTATACCTTCCGGAGTTGAGAAAAGCAATGTAGGCTCTGGATCCACAAGCTTGAGCTTCAACAATCAACAAGCTTGGACTTATTTTTCTTTCAAAATGCACCCAAAACACATAAAAAGGCTCAAGACTTCCTCTAGGGGCTAGGGTTTCGATTTGGAGGCTCAAGAGTGTAGTGGCTGATGTTAGGAAGGACCCCAAGGGGTTATAGTCTTTAAATAGGGTTTAATACCACGAAATTAGGGTTTTAACACTGCGGTGGTACACTTAGCGTACCATAATTTACGCTTAGCATAACACCCTAAAAATTCGTTCCTTTCAACCTAGTACACCCAACGTACTACCTAGTGTACGCCCAACGTACTGCCAAACTCCCTTTTCCAGCTTAACTTCAAACAACCATAACTTCTTCTTTTCAACTCCGTTTTCGATGATCTTTATATCCACGGAAAGGTATCGACAAGCTCTACAATTCTATCTTGATATTTATTACTAAAAACATCTCGAACTAAAATCCTTAATTTATTCAAGAAACCCGAAACATAACCTTTCCCATTTTACCCATCAGTTTCTATCGAACAATCCAAGGTTTAAATCACTTATCCAACATCATACACCTCAAATAGATTCTAAACTCTGTTCCATTAAAGCCCAAGACCTCCATTTGATCAATTTATTGTCCACAATGTTGAAATAAGAACTTATCAAAATAGGATGTTAAAAAACGATTAACTATCTCGTCACCGTCGTCCAAGACGCTCGGTTTCGATTCAGTCTCTTTGCCCGCCAAGTTTTGATGCAGCAACTCAAGTTTTTTGGATTCGTTGTTGCAAGTGTTTAATCTCTATGTCATGTGGATCTCGTAGATTTACTCCATTTTGTGGAACGCTTCCACCACCGCGACGACCATGGGTTGCTCCACACCCACAAACCATCGGATTGAATGGAAAAGTACCGCCACCTTCACCTTTACCTTACACAAATAGTCGAATTTCCTTCATTCTCCCAAATTCAAGTTCTTCAAGACACGATGTAAACTTACCAATTGTTAGCACTCGCGATTTCAAGACCATTTTATGTGTCTTAATCATTTTTATAAATTTAAGAGAGCTAAAGTAGTTTAGTGAAAGTAAAATCACTTACAATAGTTACAAATATTGATCACTCTAAGAAATACATAAAGAAACAATTAATTTATCAAACAATGATGCTCACTTTTTTGTTGTAAACAAATAATTTTCTAAAATTATTGAAGGGTAAAAGTAGACAACAAATAGACAAAAAGTGTCGAATACGATTTAATATTTCATTTATTTATCAATATTTCTTGCAAGATATTATGCATTTTAGCCGAGAAAGACACTTAAAGAATTAATACCAACTGAAAAAGGACATAAAGAGAGAAAATTCCAAAACTAAAGGACCGTTTTCAACGGATCATGTCTATCGGGATGTTGAGATCAAAAGCTTCGGAATCGTTTTAGAGATGATTCGAATCTTTAGATGAAAAACTTATAGCAACATAAACATGTCATTGCATGATATACAAGTCGACATAAAAGTATTAGAATGTTACACTTTTGCTTTTAGGAAAAGAGTTTAATTAAAGATAATTACAAACATAATGACAAATCCAAAGAAATCAACAAAGGGTTTGATTAAAGATAATTACAAACATAAAATCCAAAGATATCAAGAAAAGCTCGATAGAAAACTAAAAAGAAGCTTCTTTATAAATCATTCACTACCCATCTTGCAAATGTCTCCATCTCTCCCTATCATTCCCCAACATTGAGAATGATAGTCACTAGAGAAAAGGGTAATCTCAAAAAATTAAAAATAAGGAAATTACAAAAATACCCCTCCATCCCATAGTATTCTAATCCATACAATGATAGTGTTCAAGAAGCCTATTGGCTTCTCTAATACCACTAAAATAAGCACCATGAGTTGTAGAGTAATGAGTTCTATGTGTTGCTTCCCCAGCGAAGAGAATCTGAAGCTGATGTGACTTTGACTGTGACTGTAACTGCAAACCCGCTTTAGGTAATGGCTCAGCCAATGTGTCCATGTCACTACAACTTGAACCAACTGCAACATAACTATATGACCCCATAAAGAGTGGATCATGCCCCCATTGACTCTTCAAAACCTTAACAAGTTTCAATTTTGATGAGTTCTTGATTCCATTCCCATTACATTGTTCATGGGAATCCAACGAATTTGGCAAAAAGGTAGATAAAGCTGTGGAGACTTGATCAAGAATCACTTCATTTGGGAGTGTTTCTAGCTCTAGTGCTTCTTCACCTGCAAACCAAGATAATAACACTCTTGATTTCTTATAAATCGGTGAGACAAAAGCTGTTCTCCTAATCCACCATGGGATTCTCGGGTCCTTAACTTCGGAATCACTTTGGTGGAATAGGAATTGTAGAAATGGGAATTGGTCGAAATCTGTGTAGTCCGGACTTAGTTGCAAGAAAAGCTTGTTGACGACACCATACCCAAGTCTGGAAATGGCTTCGATCTTGTAATCTGGAAGTGGGGGATTGAATTTTAGCATACCCAAATCGTTGGAATCACGGATTCCGGCTTTGAGTACACCTAATGAAACTGTGACAATGACATGGTCGGCTGATAGAGTTGTACCATCGAGAAAGTGTAGCTTCACTGGTCTTGTACCTTCATGACCATTTTCTGTTGTTATTCCCAATTCACATTCAGGATTCCACTCAATTTTGGCAACTTTTTTACCTAATTGAATGACGCCAGATGGTAAAACAGATGCCAATGATTGTATAATGCTTGAGTATCCTTTAGCGATAGTGATTTCTTCACCAGGACACATGACGTATTCACTCTCTGCATTATAATCAAGATTCAACAAATCGTTAGCAGCTGTATAAGTTCTTTGAGTGTTCTCATGCATTGCGAAAATTGCTTCTTCTAACAACTTCCGATTCCAATTCCGATTCCCATTCACATCGTCTCTCTCCTTTCGTGATTCCGTTTCCCAGTAATCTTCAAGACCGTTTCTAAGGAAAGAACCAACACTCATATTCCCAATTCCATCTCCACCATTCCCGATTCCAACCAGAGTTGATTTCCTTTTTCCTTGAGCAAAATCCATTAGATTCTTGAAGAGATTTGAAATAGGGTGAACAAGAGATGGATTTAACACGTACCCATTTTCAGCTATGGTGATTGGGTCATCAAGAAACCCATCCATACACTCCCATGGCTTGTCTGATTCCAAGGAATTGATTTCTTGAGCTATTTTATGAACTGGGCTACCCCCAATTCCATGGATCCAAGTAGCACCCATTTCAATTCTGTCACCACCAAACTCTGAAGTGTTAATCCTACCTCCAATTCTATTCCCACCTTCAATAACGCAAAGCTCAAATGCTTCTTTTGAACAACTGTATTTGTAGAGCTTGTTTGCAGCTGTTAAACCTGCCATTCCCGCCCCGATTATCACTATTCTTGGCTTATTCACAACCATTTTGCCTTACAAAACAATAAAGATTTCAACTTTTTTCAAGAAAATGAAATGAAATTTGTGGGGTTTCAAGAAAAATGGATTTTGTTTGTTTCTTGAGAAAAAAGAGTTAGAAAGGAAGTGAGAGTGGAGGGTTCTAACTGATGAACCCTAGTCTTCAGTTTTGGAGAGAATATATAATAAATGTTTGTGAGTGCTTTAAAGGAGGGGTGCTGTTCAATTTATAATGGTATGGAACCAAGGGTTAAGAAAACTCTCTGAATTATTAAAGCGATAGAATAGCATCGATTTTAGATCGGTATTATGGATTATTAGTTTGTATTTTCTAGAGGTCGATTAAAAAGAAAAGCTTAAGAAGTAAGCTTTAATATTTTTTTAATAAATTTTTTATATAAATATAAACAAAATAATGAATAATGAATAAGTAAGTAATTGAATTTATACTAATTAAAAAATTATTAACATATTTTAGATAATAATGTTGAATATCAAGATGTAAAATTAATTATTTTTTAAATTAACTTTCGAAATAAATACAATAAAAACATAAATAAATAGGTAACTGAATGTGCACTAATAAAAAAACTATTAAAATATTATAAATAATTGTTATGAATCATTAATTTTCAAAAACTTTTTTAATACAACATTAGATGTTTTATTGTTAAGTTTACCATTATTGTCTAAAATTAATATTTTTAATTCATCTTTATTTTTAACTCTTCACAATACAACATACAACTATCCATGAGTAAACACTTTGTAACATCCCGAATTCAAAAGTATGATTTAAGGGTTTAAAGTGTAATTTGATTTAAGGGTTTAAAGTGTAATTTCGAAGAAGGGACTCGACGAGTAGGTACGCTTACTCGCCGAGTCGAAGCGGGTTTTGGTCGCGAATTAAGTGACCAGCTCGCTAAGTCGGAAGCTGGACTCGACGACTTGGTGTTGGAATGAGAAAATCCTAATCTTAGGGTTTACACCCTATTTAAAGGACTTTATGTCCTTCTCCCAGCCTCCTATTCCCCCAGAGAGTTCCAGAAAACCCTAATTTCGTGCGAGACTTCATTGTTGAAGAGATTGGAGCTTGGAAGGGGAATTGGTGGAAGGAGCTTGAGAAATTAGAAGCTAGCATCAAGGGGCTTGTATAGACCTGGGATCTACATCAATTTGGGTACATCTCAAAGGTAAGAAGCCATTATCTTAAGCTATTTCCTTTTTGGTTCATCCTTGGTGGTTGTTTTGGGAGTTCCTTAACTTGTTGGAGATCTATTTCGGGTTTGGAGTTTAGATCTGAGGTTGCTACTCCAGATCTAGGTTTGTGATGGTCTATAATGTCATAAAGTTTATGTTTAAGAGTTGTTGGTGAAGCCCCTTAGTCCTTAAACCTAGCTATAGTGTGTTTTGGGCCTATATCTCCTTGGTTTCACGTAAAGTTTGCAACTTTATGTGAGGGTTAGACTGTAGAAGAGTGGATCTATGGTTTGGAGCCCCTGCATGGCTCGAAAAGCCTCTGAATGGATTGAGAACTGGAGAGACTCGGCGAGTCACATGGGTGTACTCGACGAGTTGTATGAACATGTGCATGGACTCGGCGAGTTGAAAGAACAACTCAGCGAGTCTGTTAAAGATTGCCTTAGACTAGGTGAGTCTGTTCTTAGACTCGGCGAGTCAGGACGCAGAACCCCAACCTCTTTTGGTTAAAGCCTTAGATTAAGTGAGTCGGTTGGCGACTCAGTGAGTTGGGCAGGATGGAAATCATAGATCGTTGGACTCGACGAGTCTTGAGGCGACTCGGCGAGTTGACTCGTGTTATGGGAGTTTCTGAGTATAGGAACTCGACGAGTCGACGGGTTGACTCGGCGAGTAGAATCAACCAGGAAGGTTGACTTTGACTGAGGACTTTGACTTTGGCCAAGAGTTGACCAGTTTGACTTCCAAGGGTATTTTGGTAATTTTGGTATTTTTGGAATTGGTTCTTTGGTAGTGTTCTGTGGTGAAGTTCGTGTCAGTGGTCGGAGCAGCTTTGTCTTATCTCTTCAGTCGGCAATTGCAGGTGAGTTATCCTCACTATATCGATAGGGTCTACGGCACCAAGGTCGACCCTTTATCGGATGGAAATTCGGGTATTCTTTGTTATGTTATTGCTTTTCTAGATCTGCATCCTGGTATTTAGGATGGTGTTATGTTAGTGACATGGTTAAGGTCGGTACCCGGTATATAGGGTAATGTTATGCTAGTGACCGATTAGGTCGGAATCTTGGTTAGGATGTTGATATGCTATGTGATATGTTAGATTGTTTGTTTGGTTAAGGCTTTGTTATGTAATTAATTATTTTATGTGCACATGGTTGTTTGACGGGGGTTGGGTTGAGGCGGGTTTTGCTTTGTGATGTAAGCCAACATACCCAGGGCGAACCGAATATTCTGAAGGCCTAACAACCGGTCCGGATAGGCTGAAGGCCCCAAGAGGGTGGACCAGACGTTTCGAGGCTCGAAGAGTAGACCAGGTGGACTAAAGGCCCGGTGCGGGCGGACCAGTCACACAGTGGACCCGATGTACATGGTTGTTCTATTTGTGACATGTTATGAGTATGTTTATGTATGTTTGATATTTTGGGGGTAACTCACTAAACTTCTGGGCTTACAGTTCAATGTTTTGTTTCAGGTACTTCAGGAGATCGTGGCAAGGAGAATGCATGATTGTACCGCTCCTCATGTTTTATGATTTATGTGATATTGTCCTAGGGGATACTCTGATGTTTAAACTATTTTGAAAACAATATGTTTGAACTTAATGGTTTTTGAATGAATTAAAATGTTTTAATTTGGCTTAAATTTTATGGGTGTTACACACTAGTTGTCTCAAAAACACCCCCTCTTCTGATAGTCACTCTTCTTAACTCTTGTTTATTGTGATCGCAAAACATACAACTAGTGTAATTTGTGTTCTTTGAAATGTGAAGTAAGTCATTTTATTTGAAGGCGTCAACAACATTTTTAGAATAAACAAAAGGTTTCTTATATTATTTTCGAAAATTATCTTTGTTTCTATAACACTCTTACCTAATGCTATAACCCGTAGCCTCGTTACATTACACAAACCGCATTTCTAATCAATATTCCTTAGTAACATAACTTGAACACCAAATTTTATACCAACTTATAAATTGGAAAATCTGACGGTTTATGACCATTTAGAATAGTAAGTAAGTATAAACTTTCATCAAAGTCATCATGAAAAAAATATGAATGACAAAGACTATATGAACTTAAATATTTTTTAACTTCCAAAAATAATGATAACAACGATCGTTTATTTCTTGAACGATTTAATTTTTGGTTCAAAAATTACTCATACTTCAAAAAAAACGGATTCTTTGCATTTTAAAGGTTAAAATGATCACTGTATTAATATACATTAATAAAATTAATTTATATGAATTCATAAATGGATGGTTACTATTATTACATTAATATAATAATAAAGAATATGACTTTACAAATGAAATATGAGTATCTACACTAATATACGTTTAATTAATATATTAATAAAATTAAGACAACTGGTCCTTTTGGTTTTCAATTTTTCCTTAAAATAGATTTTATAAAACCTTTTTTGCATGGATAGTCCCTTTAGAGCAAACCTTACAAATAAATAGTTTTTATCACTAATTTTGTTAACACATTATGTTAAGTGCCTATAAAATGATGAAAATACCCTTTATTTTTTTCACACAAATGGTCTTTATAACTCTCTCTCTCTCTCTCATGGCCATGTGAAAATATAACCAGCCATCAAATTCTTGGCTATAAATCTGAAACTTGTTCTCTTCTTCATAAGATCGATGCCATCGAAAAAATTCAAGAATAATTGATTCCAAAGCTCACTTGTGTTCCACTGCCCTCAATTTACTGGAAAAACCAATAAAAGATCAAATAACCAAAAGCAAATCAAAACCCAATAATTCTAAACAAACACTAAGATGAAGATCAAGGTACCAATTTGTATGTGTGTGTGGGGGTGGGGGGTTGAATTTGTAACGTCCCAAAATAATGACAATAACTTTTCTTTTTTGGATTAATAAATCGTTAATACATATCGTTTTTCATCAAATCAAAATAATCAAGATTTAGCAAAACATCATCGAATCAAAGTAAATCACAAAATGCGGAAACATATGTGTACTCTGCAATCATCCCGAGCTCTTCCATTTGAAAACCAAAGTACCTGAAACATAATCTGAAACCATAAGCAAAAAGTTTAGTGAGTTCCCCAAGATACCTCATCCCATACATAAAATAAACATATAATGGGCCCCGCCCTGTCATCGGACCCCGCTCGGCATAGGACCTTGTCCGGCATCGAGATGAGCTCGGTAAAAATGGGCCCCACCCAAGATACAATAACATATATCAAATAAACTCATACACTTGCAATAATCGCATACATAGCATAAAAATAGTCATTGGGGCCTGCCCAGCATCGAACCTTAGCCCGTGTAACACTCTAAAATTTTCAAATAATTTTTTTTTTTCATTTTTAAAACCACATAACACAATCTCACATATTTCTCAAAACACAAAATGTATAAGTTGTTCAAAACACAAGACAACAAAATGTTTGATAATATCCCAGAATCCTCAAAAACATAATCTTTAGCTAGTGTGTACAATCAAGTCGACGCTTCCTGCGATCCTAAGAGGTACCTGAAACACATTTCACACAACACTCTAAGCACGAAGCTTAGTGAGTTCCACAATATAACACATACACAAATAATAAGCCTCTCATGGCTATGGCTCCGCATGGACCCTCCGGTCATGCGTCTCGGTGAAGACCCTCCGATCTCACGACTCGGTATGGACCCTCCGGTCGTGTGTCTCAGTGAAGACCCTTCGGTCTTACAGCTCGGGTTGGACCCTCTGGTCTCACAACTCGGTTTGGACCCTCCGTACCTAACTCAGTAAGGCACAGAATAATATACAACATAATTCACAAA